ACTCAATTCTGCCCTCCTGAGATACCACTAATGATAGCTATCTATCTGGGGATTTCCCAAATTATTAAAATGGAGTTCCATATTCCAATAAACCCCTCAGCTAAACTAGCCTTACTGCTGAATATACTATATATATTTGCAAAATCCACTGCTGCACTGTTCTCTCATGATAATTTTACAACATACACTATATTGCCAAAAGTATTGGGACACCTGCCTGTCCATGCACATGAACTTTAATGGCATCCCAGTCTTAGTCCATAGGGTTCAATATTGAGTTGGCCCACCCTTTGCAGCTATAACAGCTTTAACTCTTCTGGGAAGGCTGTGCACAAGGTTTAGGAGTGTGTCTATGAGAATGTTTGACCATTCTTCCAGAAGTACATTTGTGATCAGGCACTGATGTCAGACGAGAAGGCCTGGCTCGCAGTCTCTGCTCTAATTCATCCAAAAGGTGTTCTGTTGGGTTGAGGTCAGGACTCTGTGCAGGACAGTCAAGTTCCTCCATCCCAAACTCGCTATACATGTCTTTATGGACCTTGGTTTGTGCACTGGTGCGCAGTCAAGTTGGCAGGGGCCATCCCCAAACTGTTCTCACAAATGCAGGCCATAGATGGGTCGAAAATCGGCCGTTTTTTTTGGCCAAAAATAAAATTGGCCGATTTTTGGATCGTTAGTGGGTTAATAGGTCGGCCGTTTTTCAGTATTTTGGCAGATTTTTTTTATCGGTAAAGTTGGAAAAAGATTGGCCGATTTTCGCGGCAATTATGGGCAAATCGGCCGATCTTTTTACCGACAGAAAGAAGAAGGAAGAAGGAGAAGGAGGAGAAAGGAGAAGGAGAGGAGGAGGAGGAGGAGGAGAGGAAGAAGAGGAAGAAAAAGAGGAAGAAGAAGAAGAGGAGGAGGAAGAAGGGGGGTGCAACCAACTTACATACAACTTATGCGCAATTCACTTACAATTCATACATATATCTTTATAAACCTTGACAAATAATTTATCCACTACCTATACACATATATATTCTCTCTCATTGATTATGCCTTGTCCCCTAGGGCACACTTCCATCATCTACATATAGACGCATTGATATATATGCACTACTCTACGATATTTTACATATTATCTTTCATGTATTTTCACTTTAAAAATATCCATACTCATTCTTTCTTCCCTTCATTTTATTATACAGGACCCCTCAGGTCTTTACACAAATTAATATCTTTAGATTGTAAGCTCCACGAGGAGGGCCCTCATATTCCTTCTGTACTGAAATGTAATTGTACTGTCTCCCTTATATTGTAAAGCGCTGCGCAAACCGTTGGTGCTATATAAATCCTGTATAATAATAATAATAAATAATATCTTCATCAGTAATTATAACCTTCTATGCACGAAGTTATTCATGTTTTAATAGCCATTAGTATTTATTATGTGTTATTGGGATTTATCGCCGATGTTTAGTATATGTATTATATTCCAATGTTCTTTGCCCTTATAATATGCCACACGGAGCTCTTTCTGGTTGTCATTGTGTGGTTACCATGGCATTAGTGTGGGTGGAATGATCACTCTAGCCTCCTCCCATAGTCCAGGATTTCTCTTACTTATACCTACACCAAGATGGCCCCTGTCCTGGCCTGAAGAGAGAGCACACATGCTCCAAACGTGCCACTGGGAACCACCAGAGCCACCTAGACACCGGCTCTACATCCAGGGACTCCAGGCCACAGCAGATGAATGTTACAAGGACAAGCGTTTTCTCATTATCCATCTTGTGAGTTGCCAGTTATTCTTTTAATGCAAATAAATATTCCAACTTTCTGCACTTTGATGGCACCACCCCTTCTTCTCCTCATGCTTGATTTTATACACCTGTGGCCATGGAGGTAATTGGAACACCTGAATCCAATGATTTGGAGGGGTGTCCCAATACTTTTGGCAATATAGTGTATGTGACTATAAAGAACAGTGTGCTTTAAAATATAAACACAAACAGCAATGAAAAAACCAATACAATCTCACTGTACAAGTCCAAGATTCACCAATCCACTGTGATCCCAGTCTATCAAAGAGTTTATATAGTTATTTGTGATTCTGGAAAGTGCTCTATGCAATCAGCTAATAAATCGCTGTGCTCTTCCACTTTAAATCACAACTGTACTAGCCCTCTCTATTGCAGAAAAGTAATCATTATCCAATAACTCCGGATACAGTCCAAAAGCTTTCATCAGTATATGCAGTTCAGCAGTTATCCACACATTCCTTGGATTAAGTGGACAAAAGCCACGGGCAGATATAACTTAAAATCATTATTATAAAATGAATAAAGGCAAACATCAATCCATTTACATGGTGCAAGTGCGTCTCATCACTGTACATAAAGACATATGCAGGGAGAAAATCCCCTAAATGTGTATAAAGTATTCACTCTAATAAGTTCAGTACATGATCCTGACAGGAGTACAAAATTAGCTCTGTTCAACGTTTTACCATAGAATGGAAAAAGGTTTTTGTTGTTGTGCTATTTTAATGATTTTTCAATTTGTTAGTGCCCATCCACAGTAAACACACATAAAAAGCTATAAAAAAAGCATCTATGTTGACCTGTGTTTCTGCAAATTTTTTTTTTTTTTTAAAGGAATGTTTCCTTTGATGTAATTGTTGTGGGGACGAGAGGTGCATTGCAGTGCATCAGTGCACATTTAAACATGTTTATGTGCATTCCTGCACGATACAATGTAAACATGTTGCTATTTAATGCACATCATTCCATAAATTCAGCATTCTAGTGTGAATCAAAAAAAGTCTATAAAATGTGAAGTATTTCTGCATTTCAAAAGTATTTAGACTATTCTGGTCACCTGAGCTGTAATTAGAGGACATGGCTGTGGCAGCGAGGCAGCTGAAGACACATAGGGAAGTTCAATTGCAGTGAAAATGCTGCAAACTACATTTAGGTTTGCGGTTTGTGCACGAAACACCTTTGCCTTTGAAAAAGATCTGCAAGGGCTCGTTCACACTAGGCTGTTTTGCCAACGCTTGCCAAACGCCCCTATAGCGTTTGGCAAGCGTTGGTCCGGAGTTTGCGGAGCGTTTTTAACGCTCGGCAAACGCCGCATGCGCGGTTTAGCGGCGGTTGCTAGGCGTTTGCCGAGCGTTAATAACGCCCCACAAACGCCTATAATGCATTTGAGTGGTGTTACCGCTCCGGAAACACCCCGCAACCGCGTCGCAACCGCACCGCAAACGCCGGCCGGGCATTTGCGGAGCGGCACCATAGACGAGAATAGGAGGCTTCAAAGCCTCCTGACTCGACCAGAGGCGTCCGTTTTGCCGCGACGCAACGTGATGCGACGCAAACGCTCCTGTCAGAACAGCACCATGTGCTGTAATGTGCAGAATTGGCAGAGGCGTTTGGGAAGCGGTAAAAACGCTTCCCAAACGCCTCTCTGCCGCCTGCACACAAGGCTAGTGTGAACGTAGCCTAAGGATAGTTTGCATAGTAATGAGATTTCCAGAAGACATAGGGAAATATTAAAATTTGTGATGGCAAGGTAAATGTTTGTTAACAGAGGCATATAGTTTAATTTGTCACCTGTGCTGCAAAGGTCCCCACGACCACTGCACAAAAGATGGGATTCCGGAAGATGTTCTCAAAGACATTGCGTTCTCCGTGGATTTTGCGTGCATTGATTTCATTGAAAAGTTGCATCATAACAAAGGTGTTGAAAACAATAGTATAATGCTCCGAAGGGGGAGAGTGCAAGGGAACATTTCTCCCACTGTCAATGTCAAAAAATATCTCACCTGGGAAAGACAAAAAACGAATTAAAAACAGTATTGTAAATAAAGTATAAGAATAACTTAGAATCTATTTATCTACATCTAACTACGCACACATATACATGCATGTGTGCCAACACATATAAACACAGCAAAACAACAAAAAAGTACATACACCTCTGAAAATGCAACATGTCACTAATAAAAAGCATGGTTCACAAGAGGCAACTGACAGAAATCCAAAAAGGATTAACAGTCAGTGCATGAACTCTGTGTACATCAGTTAGGAAGACAGTCTAAAAAATGATGACAGCACATGCCACACATTAAATGTGTTGTATGTCCACATGCAATTTAGCCAGTTTTTTTTTTATCTGTTTCTGTGAACACAACAGAACAGAGAAAAGAGCTTTCAAATTCTGGAGCACAATGGCTGGGAGTTTCTAGAGTGTAATTAAGCGACAGGCAAAAAAATACATAATAATAAAAAAAATATAAAAAAATGATATATATCTATATCTATATATATATATATATATATATATATATATATATAGATATATATTACACTATATTGTCAAAAGTACTAGGACGCCTGCCTTTCCATGCACATGAACTTTAATGGAATCCCAGCCTTCGTCCGTAGGGTTCAATATTGAGTTAGCCCACCCTTTGCAGCTATAACAACTTTAACTCTTCGGGAATGGCTGTCCACAAGGTTTAGGAGCATATCTATTAACCATTCTTCCAGAAGTGCATTTGTGAGGTCAGGCACTGATGTCAGACAAGAAGGCCTGGCTTGCAGTCTCCATTCTAATTCATCCCAAAGGTGTTCTATCGGGGTGGAGGTCAGGACTTTGTTCAGGCTAGTCAAGTTCCTCCACCCCAAACTGGCTCATCCAAGTCTTTATGGACCTTGCTTTGTGCACTGGTGCGCAGTCATGTTGGAACAGGAAGGGGCCATCCCCAAGCTGTTCCCACAAAGTTGGGAGCATGAAATTTCCCCAAATTTCTTGGCCTTAAGAGTTCCCTTCGCTGGAACAAAGGGGCCAAGCCCAACCCCTAAAAAACAACCCCACTTCATAATCCCCCTCCACCAAACTTTACACTTGGCACAATGCAGTCAGGAAATTACCATTCTGGCAACTGCCAAACCCAGACACATCCATCGGATTCACAGACAGAGAAGCATTATTCATCACTCCAGAGAACACCACTCCACTGCAGTTAGAGTCTAGTGGCAGCGTACTTTACACCACTGCATCCGACACTTTGCATTGAACTTGGTGCCATGGAAACCCATTCCATGAAGCTCTCTATGTGCTGTTGTTGTGCTAATCTGAAGGCCACATGAAGTTTGGAGGTCTTTAGCTATTCATTTTGCAGACAGTTGGCGACTTCTACGCACCGTGTGCTTCAGCATGCGATGACCCTGCTCTGTTATTTTACGTGGCCTGCCACTTCGTGGCTGAGTTGTTGTTGTTCCCAGTTGCTTCCACTTTGTTATAATTCCACCAACAGTTGACCGTGGAATATTTAATAGCAAGGAAATTTCACGGATGGACTTATTGCACAGGGGGCAACCTATCACGGTACAACACTTGAATTCACTGAGCTCCTGAGAGCGACCCATTCTTTCACAAATGTTTGTAGAAGCAGTCTGCATACCTAGGTGCTTTATTTTATACATCTGTGGCCATGACGGTGATTGGAACACCTGAATCCAATGATTTGGAAAGCTGTCCCAATACTTTTGTCAATATAGTGTATGTATTTCTTACATCTCATATAATCTGTCACTATTTTTAAACATATTTATAGAACTGTAATCAACTTTATGGCAATGTTACTGGCAAAACAGTTTTAAATAATACCAAATTCAAGTGTGTTTTGATGGTGCAACAATTTTAGTAAAGTAAAGGTCCATGAATCTGACTGTGGACATGTTTGAAAAATATATGGTAGAAGTTTGAGTTTATGGGGATGACATTTATTGGCAAAAGAGGTTATAGTTCAAAAAGCAAGCAGGCCTCTTCTTCAAGCAGTATATTACCATACATTGCACTACAATCTTTTTGGTTAGCTAATAAATGGTATCACCCTAAATCCAAATGTCTGCTTTCCTCGATGGCTAACAAAGTACAATACTTTGCTGCTGGAAAATGTGTATTCACATTGTTAAAAGCATCATTATACAACAGAGGTTAATTTTGTAGAGGACATGAATTTTTTTTCCTGTAGAAAACGCATATATGCCTAACCTGCAAAGAGCAGAGTGAAGATGATAGTCAGTTGATATACAGCATGTCCCAGTATGTTTTTCATCATAGTGCGTGAGATAAGTGGTTTGTTACGTCCATATGGTTTACGCAGAAGTAGTGATTCGGTAGGGGGTTCCGTGGCCAGTGCAAGAGATGCAAATGTGTCCATAATCAAGTTGACCCAGAGCATCTGTACAGCTTTTAATGGAGAATCCTGCAATAAAAAGGATTTAAAGTTAAATATCTACATTAAGCACCCCACCTGGCCTATAATATGGTATATGCATAAAACCAACCATCCCCCCTTCTACCTCCACTAACTATACTGCAGGGAAGAAAATGCTAGAAATAAAAGCTGGATGAAAAACACGGATATCGCTTTTGTGCTGGCTTGTAGTAGTGTTTTAGTAGTGTTTAGAAGCATTCAGGAGCATTAGCATTTTATTAACGATTTTACAGTACATGTAGGGAAAAAAAGCTAGAAAAAAAGCTGTTATTAGCGTTTTAGTAGCATTTAGCATTTTTCTGTCAGAAAAAAGCTCCTAAATACTCTACAAACACAAATTCATTTCTGCTCCTAATGATGAAGTTTGAAAACACTACTAACCTAAAATAGTGTGCATGAACACATATGATAACACTATTTAGCTTCTATGAACAGAAAAAAATGCTGATAACAGCTTCTAAACGCTTAAAAAATAACATATGGTGTAAACCAATTTTTTATGAAGTGGAAAATATTTTTATTTTGTATTCCTAATTTGAATCAGATAAATCCATTTACTAACATTTTATCAAGTACTTTAAAATCTTTTAAATAAGCCCACACAGACATCAAAATATACAATATGTAGCTGACCAATCTTGATATTTTTAACTAGCCATCTGATAGCTCTTGAAGGGGAACATCGACTGAACAAGCCTTAAAGTCATATTAAACCCTGTTTTGTTTTACATTTTTGTGTTGCAATTATTTTTATTAACATTTTAATCATAATACAAGAGTGTAGGCAAGTGCAAAGGTTCCTCATGGTCAGCCTTTGAAAGTACTGTGGTGGTAACAAGGACATATCTTAAATTAAGATAATTGACAATTGTCAATCAAAAACCCTGCATTGGTTATATCATTTTCACTACATTAACATAAAAACTATGCTGCGGAGGAGAAGAAAAACAAAGACAAAACAGGTGGATATAAATGTTGTTGACCTGCCATCTCTGAGTAAGACGAGCAGTTAGTCGTGGTTACTATGAATATAGTTCAGTCAAAAGTTAGTAAAAGATGTATATCCATACCAAATGGTCAATGAAACATGAACAAGGCTGATCAACCTGATCTGCATATAGTACATTAGAGGAAAGGGTGGGGGAAGGGGAGAGGTGCATAGAGAAGAAAAGGGGGGAAAATTAATGTAACTATGAAAATGGCAGGGCGTATTAGAGAGGTAAAGAGTTGCTCTGCTCGGTTCAGCTCCTACAGCATCCACATTATTCCACTGTGGGAAACTCCACTTGGCTTGCCATACATCTGTGTCTAAAAATGGGTAGGTACCCCAAAAGCAAAGTTTGCCCAATTACAGCAGGTAATTCCAAACTAAGAGCAATCCTACAGCCTCCATACATCCAGGTAATTACTCCCTTAAAATAGAGGGAAGGAGCAGGTGAAAGGAAAGCATACAAAGGCTTGTGACTGGCTGAGTGTTTGTGCTAAAGAGTTCAAGTCTCTGCCCAGCTTCTTCTTACTAGAACACCACCCCATCTGCATTAAGCCCTTAACCTCCACTATCTTGTGCCCTACTCCCTGCCAGTGGCCTTCCCACGACATCCCCAGCCATTACCTTTATATTCTGAAGGAAGGAATGTCCACACAAAGAAGTATAGCTGTTACAGAAAATCACAATTACAGTCACATCACATAGACATGATATCCGAGGACACTTTCCTCTTCAGCCACCCTCCTTTTATAGTCTCTCTCCTCTCCTCAGGGTCATTAGTATGCATTCAGAGGGCTCTTCTTTGCCTTAGGCCAGGGATGTCAAGCTGGTGGCCCTCCAGCTGTTGCTAAACTACAAGTCCCATCATGCCTCATGAGTTTGGGAGTCAAGCTTGTAACTGTCAGCCTTGCAATGCCTCATGGGACTTGTTGTTTGGAAACAGCATTAGGGCTGCCACTTTGACACCCCTGCCTGATGCTGTCTGTGTACAGCTCCCGTCTCCCTGCTTGTCGTTCCAGAGACAAGAACACAGCCACTGCACCTCTAGCTCCAGTACACTTCTCCTGGATTCTCCAAGGGAACAGACTCATTCAGAGAACACTTGGCCTGGCTTGAAAGGCCTTTTGCAACCCACTCTAGCCTCCACCACCATAAGAGACAGGATGACTACAGTTGGTACTTCTGGGTTCAGAACTATCTTCACAATGTTGAGTATCTGGCTCCCATGCCCTGACAGTATTAAGGCTCCCCCCACCTGGCTTATATATAGGCACTGCCTCAGCCATGATATCACTGCAGGAGGGCTCTAACTAAAAGGGAACTAGTACCCGATTACACTATTCTCTCACCACACACTATTCCAGTACAGAGCCACCTAGTGGCAAACTAGCTAACTGCACCTGCTTAAATGAAGGCTGGAGGGCAGATGAAATGTGGCAACACACTTGCCAGGAGCCATAGCTATCTCCCATGGTAGTGCAGACAACCACCACCTGGAGCCGAGATGCTATAGGCTTGTAAATGAGAAACTGACAGACCAGCAGTTTGGCCAATCATATTGGCCCCCTAGGGCAAAAACCCCACAGACTGTCTGTGTCTGGGACATCACAGTCAAACCTGCAATGAGATCATGTGCAATTCAGGGTACTACCAGGATCTAAATAATTCAGTGTCAGGGTCTGGGTCCAAACCTGGGACCTCTGCTGTGTCTGGCAATGTCTCTTTTTCCTGAGCCACCTGGAATGCTTGAATCCTTTGCTCCTCCCATAAACTTCCCGATTTAAACCATGTCTCTGTACTTCCTGTTTGCCAGATTCTCGTGCTTTCTCCAGCCAATATCTCGCTCTGGTCTCTCCTGCTGTCTTTGTACCTTTGCTACCACTCGTTAATGGCCTGTTCCTCGACTATGCTTCTGCCTGCTCTCAACCTGCAACCACTTCTTACCCACATTTGGCTTGTTTACTGACTGCACTTCTGTTTGATCGACCTGGTACTAATAAGCAAAAAAAAACCATCTCCACCAACAGGAATTCTGGGTAATACTGGGTAGTGCTTAGACTCTGCACCTGAGGTGAGCCTGCGTCATCTGCCAGGGTGACCTGCTTGTATACCTATTCTGCTGGTTGGTGGGAGCTTCTCTACTGCTATAGCTACTGGTCTCCAAGCCAGACATCCGGTCTGTCACCCAGCCAGTTGCTTGCTTAAAGAAACCAAAGAAAGTTAGGGTTTGTAAGAAACCAAAGGAACTAGGGTTTGCAGGAGGAAAATTCAATTTCTTAAACCCTAGACACTAGGCTAATAACTGAGTGCCCACAACTGTAGAGGGGGTTTAGCCTCTAGCAGGGGCCAACTCTTGATCTTTTGTTTTTTAGCGTAGGACTGTCCAAGTCCAGCAGGTGGCAATACATTAAGGGCCAGTTCACACCACAAAAAAAGTCCTCCAGATCCGTTCCAGATGCTTTCTGTATGCGCTTTTTTAATGCATTTTTGCTACGATCTTGATGGGATTCCGGATGCTTTTTTTCTTCTTTTTTAGGTTTTATTTTTCACTTTACTGAGGTCTGGTGCTTTTTAGATGCTTTGATATGTTTTACTGCGTTCCACTACAGTTCTGTGCAGGAAAAAGTAGCATGTTGTATATTTTTTCTGGAATTGAAAATTACTGGAACGCACTGTGCTGGTGTTACCTATGCTTTTGGATCCCATATAACCTACTTTTCATGCTTTTTTGAAGCAGAAAAAAGCACTGCATTGCGTGTGATGTTAACTGGCCCTGGTTAATAAATAGTAAAAGCAGAACTGTGTCCTTCAATGAAACAATGAAAAAAACTCAACTAATGGAGTTAGCTGACATATGGTATCCTTGATGTGGTCAGACTTGGATCCTGGGAACATGGAGCTGGACATCTTTAGTCTAAATGTTCAATCCAGGGGGCTTTCCCCTGCAGCAGTGATTAAAGGTTAACACTGCTCTGTTTGTGGCTGGTGGCTTGTGTTCAATGTGTAAAGACCCACAGGTTTTAGTTTTACTTGCATCCCCTTGGGTATTGTTCAGCTATGCTGCTTTATCTAGAAAAAAAAAGTAGAAATCTGAAGGGAAAGCCCCATATATACCGTACGTTATTTGATGTTGCTGGAGCAATTGTAAGCAAGGTTTTAGTGTTGAGTATTTTGCGATCATCAATGTGGCTATGTTTACAAAGACTTGATAGTATTCCCCTTAAAACTGAAATCCTGACTGCTTATAGCAGGGACTTCTTAATATGATAAATAGTAAAACCTAACTAATATGTTTCCCTATAGTCTG